GGCGGGGGCGGCCCCGAGGTGGCCAGGACCCGTCGGGGAAGAGCCCGGGGAGGCCGGGCGGCGGCGCCCAGCCCAAGCCGCGGCGCTGGGGACCCCGGGGCCGGCCTCTGGCCCCGGCCTGTGTCCGGAGGTCCTCTGGCAAACTTTGTGTGACCTGCCGCCCGGGGCCTGGGGGCCGGCTCCCGCGGTGCTGGAGGGCTGGCGCTCCTTTGCGTTTCTTTTAAATTCCCAAACCCGCGCTGGGGATACTCTGGCTGTGTTGACTGGGCGGTTGACTGCTTGGGGGTCCGTGCCTTGGGCCTCAGGTTTTTACTGTGTGCCAGAAGGAGAGGGGTCGTGGCTTTCTACAGAGTTCCGCAGCCCTTAAAATAATCATAATGAAACTATTGGAAAGTTAAAAAAAAAAAAAAAATCAAAGAAGGATTTTACATGCCTGCATGCGGGCTTGGCTCGAGGGGTATGACAGTGGTGTGTGATAGAGGGGTCACATCTCCTGTCGCCCTCAGGCAGGGACTGTGTGAGACCTGCTCCTAGGTTTCTGCTGATGGGGCTCTGATACTGGAGACCCTTGCGTGCTGCAGGGAGGGTAAATCCCGTGGAATATAGCTGAGACTTCAGCAGTTGGAGGATTTGAGCTTAGGCGGTTTAAATATATTTACCGTCCTTCCCCTTGGCAGTTTCTGCGTAGGGTAAGATCAAGCCACAGGTTGACTAGGACTGCTGAAATTGCAGTGTGGGGCTTTTATTGTGACCCCTCATCCCTTCCCAGGCCTCCACATCCAAAATGGAGACAGTCTAATAATAGAGAGCAAAGAAATAGTATTTTCCAGTGAGCTCTGATTGCCTGGTTGGTTATGATGCCTTGCTCTGCTGGCCATGTTTACTACAGGGGAGCTTTTTGCCATTGTTCAGTAGAACTGTATTAGGAGGGTTTGGGGATTTTTCCCCCTGTTCCTAGATTGTAGACCAATACTGTAATCCCCATCCAAAGACAGTACCCTACAGTGGATTTTGCCATCCCTCCACAAGACCCACTAGTCTTGGCTTTCCCTGCTCTTAGGGAACGGGGGGCGGGGGTCTTAGTTCTTGGTGAGCCTTCTGATTCAGGGGTCTGCGGAGTTCTCCTGTTGGCAGAAGTTTCTGTTTGTGTCCTCAGGGGGCTTGGAGGAGAACTCAAAGTTAACTTTTTCCAAAGGGTCCCTGACCCCACCTTCAGTACCCATACCTTTAAGGGAGGGCCTTCCATGTCACCTTCCCCACCCACAGCAAACCTCCCGCCCATCTGGGTTGAACTGAGAAGCCTCTGGTTGAGGCCTTAGACCTCCCAGTGGCTTGAGGCCCAGAGGCAACCTAGGGACTGCAGTGTGACCTGCGGCAGGTTACTTAGCCTAGCAGCAGGTTATGCTAAGTGTGGATGGTAATCTAGTAGTACCTATTTCTTAGGGCTTTATGAAGATTAAATGAGATAATCCTTTAAAGTGTTTAACACAGCTCCTAGCATATAAATCCTAAATAAATGGAAGCACTCCAGGCTAATTAGCTCTCACTTCCACAGAGCTATTGGATCCTATTTTCTCAGATGTCTTTTGCTGGACAATTCTCGCATCCCCAATCTTTAGCTTAAAAATGTGAAAAGGTTTCAGTTAAGCCATGTACTTGTGAATAAATGAACAAATTAAAACTAGTGAAGATTAAGTCTTTGATAAGTGACTTTAAAAACTTTATTATTTATCTCAATTATTTTTGATTATGTGGCAATTTACTCTTGATTGAATCAGCAGATATTTATTGAGTACATACTATGTGTCACCAGGACACCAGGGATATTCTGATTTTTAAATAAAAGTGGAAGTTATAATTACTATAAAGACTGCTTATACCTAGAGTATAGTAACCGAGCAGATTGGCTGGGGGAAGATTATGAGGAGATGGACCAAGTTTACAGGAGTAATTACCTTCAGTTCCAGTAAAGGTATTGATTGTCTGGCTAGGTAAATGCAGAACAGACCACTCAGAGGACAGTGTGGCTTTACCTCTCCGATGAACCACGAATTCTCCCAGCACATTGGGGCACAGTGGCAACCAGAGACAGCAATCCTTGAAGTCCCTAAAGGAAACTTTTTTATGCTGGTTCTGGTCTCCACCGCACAACACAAATCCCCAACCTGGCTGAGCTCCTGGCTGCTCATTCCTCTCTGCCTTCCTCCTTCCCACCTTGGGAGCCAGCAGGCCGCCTGCTGCCAGGAGCCATCTGCCCCGGAGACCTGGGCTCCTGAGGGAGGCTGGCTGCTGCTGCTCTGTGTCTCTGTCCCCAAGTGGCAGAAGCCAGCACCGTGTGCCCAGGAGTAAGGGTGGCTTCACGGGCTTCCGAGATAAGTACAGGCCATATGGATGTTTTGGAAAAGCCCACAGATAAGTCAGAAACTCAACTTCTAGCAAAGAATCAGGAAGGCTGAATCTTGTGTCCTCACTCTTGCATTAACTGAGTGAAGGACAGCGGGATACCATGCCTGTCTAAAACACCAGGCACTGCTGCAGGAGTTGGATAATTAGGTCCACCTTCAAGTTGAGCTGGTTCAGAGCTGAGGGTCCCAATAGTGAACCCAAACTACCACCCTGCTGGGAGTTATGAAGTACCAGTGCAAAAATTTGCTTAAGGGCTGGGGAGATGGCTCAGTGGAATAAGCGCTTCCCTGGCAAGTACAAGGGCCTGAGTTTAATCCCCGGTTCCACCAAAAAAAAAAAAAAAATTTTTTTGTACCGGGGATCAAACTCAGGACCTTGTGCTTGCTAGGCAGGCACTTAGGCTGCTGAGCTATCGCCCCAGCTGCTTGATTTTTCCTGAGAGGATTGCCGTGTAGCTCAGGCTGGCCTCTGACTCAGCACAGTGCTTCTGCCTCGGCCTCCTAAGTGCTGGAGTGTCAGGTGTGTGTCTCGAAGTCTTATTTTAGGCAGTGCTCAGATAAGCTAGTGACCTGCATGTATATCAGGTATTCTCTTTTTATGCCCAATGAAGCCCAAGCAGCACAGGCAGCAGCAGGCTGCCGGCAGCTGACTGCTGTGATCACATCCAGTCCCCTCACCCTTATGCACGGCCATGCAGGACTTTGTGAAAAGGGGTAGAGTGCTGCATTGAAGTGGGCAGTGGCGGAGCTGTCTGTTGGTTACCGTTCCTCATAGCTCTGTAGTCGACGTCCAAGCCCTTGCTGCTCTCCAAAAGCAATTCCCGTGCGTAGCACTCTGCTGCCACGGACCCTGGAGGTTTTGTGTGCATGCTTACTTTGGGATTTGTTTTCCTGGCTGGAGACCGTGGTGTTCAGTCCTGTCTTTCCCTTTCTGTCCTTGGACACAGATCCCGCAGCTGGACATGGAGAGCCAACGCTCCTCGCCTCTGCCATTCACCAGCACTCCCCAAGAAGAATCCCTGCACCAGGCCACAGCTGAACTCTCCCAAGACACCCTGCTCTCGCCCCACATCGTTCCCCCTAAAGAAGTTCGTGCTTTGTCTCCCACGGGTGCCCAGCAGGGCCCCCTGACCCAGACCAGTGCGCCCAGGGAAGAGACTTCTGGCCAAATGCCTCATACGTCCCCGAAGGGCCCATCACTCCTCTGTCCCGCTGCTTCTGAGCAAGAGACCCAGCTCCAGGGCCCCCAGGCCACACAGGAAGAGCCCCGCATCCCTGCTGACCAGGACCCGCAGGAAGCCCCGCTGCACTCCCCAGAAGCTCCTGAGAAGGACCCTTCGAGCCTCTCCCCCACAGCCCCAGAGGCCGACATGGACCCCCTGCTGCAGAGCCCCACTTCCCGGAAGGACGCTCCCCTCTCAAAGGAGCAGCTGCTCCCCACAGCGGAGATCACCCGCTTGGCCGTGTGGGCTGCCGTCCAAGCAGTAGAGAGGAAACTGGAGGCCCAGGCCATGAGGCTGCTGACGCTGGAGGGCCGGACAGGCACGAATGAGAAAAAGATCGCCGACTGCGAGAAGACGGCCGTGGAGTTTGCAAACCACCTGGAGAGCAAGTGGGTCGTGCTGGGCACGCTGCTGCAGGAGTACGGGCTGCTGCAGCGGCGGCTGGAGAATATGGAGAACCTGCTGAAAAACCGAAATTTCTGGATCTTGCGGCTGCCCCCGGGCAGCAATGGAGAAGTTCCCAAGGTATGCCCATCCCAGTGGGGCTTCCCAAGGAACCCGGGAGTTGAAACACTGTTGAAGAATTTAGTTTAATTGAAAGAAAGAAAATTATGGTTGAAAAAAACTTAGGGATGGTGGCACAGGCTTGTAATCTCAGCACTCTGGGAGGCTGAGGCAAGGAGATGGCAAGTTTCAGCCTGGCCTCGCTAATTGAGTGACTTAGTGAGACCCTGTCTCAATCAAAAGTTGAAAATGGAAAAAGGATTGGGGACATTGCTCAGTGCAAAGACCCTGGGTTTAATCCCTAGGACTACAAAACAATAAAATTTAGAAAAATAAAATCTGTGGCTCCACATAGGCTAGCACAAAAATGTCCAGGGCCCAGGACTGTCTGTGTGGGAGCGTGTTCAGGAGAGCTGGCCCCTCTAAGAAGGCAGAGCAAGGGCCTGCAGAGGCTTGGACCCGGCCAGCCCTCTGTCCCCTCAGCTCCATTCTCCAGGTTCCAGCTGTGCGTTGAGTGTGTTCCACAGAAAGCTGTGTCCACACTGAACACCAGTGTAACCGTGTGGGCAGTGCAGTGTGGTAGGTGTCATGCACCAGCCAGAAGGGATCTAAGGTGTAGGGAGGAAGTGCGCAGGCTCTAGGCAGGAGTGGCAGTACGTCAAGAGTCCTGCTGTGCGGTTCAGGCTGCACTTGAACTCAGCTTTGTAGCCCAGGCTGGTCTCGAACTTGCAGCGATCCTCCTGCCTCGGCCTCCTGAGTGCTGGGAGTACCGACAGCGCCACCATGCCTGGCAATAGATTCCTTCCTGGGTTTTCTTTCAATTCCTGTGTGCCCTGCAGCCGTTCATAGAGCACATTCGGAAAAGTAGCCTGTGTCTCCAGGCTGGCCCTTCTCTAACCTTCTCACGCACTTGAACCCCAGGAGCCCCACTAAACGTAGCCTGATTCAGTAGGTCCCAGGTAGGGCTGAGAGTCCAGGTTTCTGGTACATTCCCTGCTGATGCTGTGGGGAGGCAGGACTGCAATTTCAAGCCCCTCCTGGGCACCCGAGTGACTTAGCAGAACCTGGTCTCTAATATTTATTTCCTTTGATGCTTAGTGGACTGTACATATTTGTATACATTTATTGGTTGTTAGTATTTTTCTGTGAATTTGTATCTGTGCAGTTTTAAATTTTTAATAATTGTAGGGATTCTTTATAATACATGTTAATCCTTTGCCATATATAACAAATATGTGTGTGCGCATAGTTCTGCGGAGTTTCTTCGTCTTTTATTTCCAGACCTCTCTCTCAGTGCACAGGTTCCACTGGGGCTCCGTGTGCAGTACCTCAAAGCAGTTATCCTGAGAGAGAGGCAAGGAGCAGGCGAAGTGGACCTGCCGCTTTTGTGGCCAGGAGCGCTGCCTGAGCTGGGGCCTGTCCCTGGCCAGTCCTCAGGACATATTCAAGCTGGGCTGGAGAGACTGGGCCTGAGAAGTGGGCAGCCTGCGACTACTGCCCTCTTGCGCCGAGCTGACCTTTTGTGTGGTTGCAGGTCCCGGTCACGTTTGATGACGTCGCCGTCCATTTCTCAGAGCAGGAGTGGGGAAACCTATCAGAATGGCAGAAGGAGCTCTACAAGAATGTGATGAGGGGCAACTACGAGTCTCTGGTTTCCATGGGTAAGGACGTGGCTTCTCTGGCCAGGGCCACCTTCACACCGGCCTGGGGTCCTTTCTGAAACCTGGGGATCCCAGCGCAGGACAGCAGGAGTGAAGGCCAGGCAGGTTTCCAATCAAGGCAAGGGCTCTGGGTCGCCATATTTCCACGTGGACTCTTGCCCTCACGTTGGCTTGGCCAGCATCTGTTTCTAAGAAAGGAAAGGAAAATGGAGGAACACGAGTAAGCTCATCGCACCCCGTGTCCGTAGCACACCGGGCCACAGAAGTCACGTCGCTCAGCCTCACCGCCCTGCCACGGGGCTCCCATTTGCTTGCTTGGTGCCTGTGACTCGGCCACTGAGCGAGCACCGGGCCCCGGGGTGCGTTGTCAGTGGGGGTTGGTTAAGGGGCCACCCTAGGGCCCCTTGAGGACACCACATCCTGGCTGAGATCTGTCTGACCCACCGTCAGCAGATTCTTGCTGTTATATTAACATTTACAGACAAAGACCTGAAACAATATACATTATCAGTATACCTTTTTTTTCTCAGAGCAAGAGTAGGAGAACTTATTGGAGTGGCAGAACTCTGGTACAGAGAACTCTTTTGGGGATTGAACTCAGGCCCTTGCGCTTGCCAGGCAAGCGCTTATTCGACTGAGCTATCTCCCTGGCCCCCATACCAAAAAAAGCATTCAAAGTGCCGTTGGGCGGAAACTTGGTTTTTGCTAGAACTGTTCATTTTCCACATACCTTTCCACAGGATGCCTTTCTTTTTTTTTTTTTTTTTTTTTTTGCGGAACCAGGGATTGAACTCAGGCCCTTGTGCTTGCCATGGAGGTGCTTATTCTACTGAGCCATCTCCTGGGCCCCAGGATGCCTTTCTGTAAGACAGCTTCCCCCTCCTTCTTTTTTTTTTTTGCGGTACCAGGGATCAAACTCAGGACCTTGTGCTTGCCAGGCAGGTGCTTAAGGCACTGAGCTATCTCCCTGGCACCCTCCTTTTTTAAATGTTTCCTTTTCATAGTATACCTATACAGTTGTGAAAATACAATGTGGTTAATACAATAAAAAAGACCCCAGGGCTCGCCAGTACCAGCCCCAGAGGGATTACCAGGAGCCCCTAGCTCTGCGCCTCCTCACCTTTTCTGTGCGTGTGCACACATGGGCAGCGTGTGTGTCCTGCTGCACCACAGGGTGGGCTTGGCACAGATGGACAATACACGGCCCTTCACACCACAGCCCGCCATGGAGAGACTGTTCGGTGTCAGAGCAAACAGCAGGCCTTTGGCCTTTCTGCTGCTGACGCGGTGGCAGATTTTGATTTTCTCACTGTGGCAAAATGCTGTGGTAGACAGCTCTGTGTGTGCGTTTACATGAGTTCTCGGCAGCACACGTGCAGAGAGACAAGTTGTGGAGTGAAGAGGATGTACGCTGGCAGCTTTTGGCTCCTGCCGTGGAGCCCCAGAAGGCCAAGCTAGTGTTCTGCAGCGACACCATTTCTCTTCAGCTCGAGCTGAACTCGTGTTCTTTGATTTTAAACATTTGTCTTTTTTTGATGGATGAAAAATGATGCTTTGGTCTTTCAATATTTATTTCCTTTGATGCGAAGTAAACTTGTACATATTTGCATGCATTTATTGTTTGTTAATATTTTTATGTGAGTTGCCTATTCCTGTCTGTGCAGTTTTAAATTTTTAATAATTGTAGAGATTCTTTTTTTTCCCATAATTTTATTGATAAATAGCAATGAGACAGTTTCAAATCAAATTGGTAGGACGGTTTCAATAATTAATACATTGCATACATTCCTCCTAGTGGTTAATTGCAGTACAAGATGCAGACATGATATCCTATTTACAAACACTATTAGAACAAATCACTCTATTCATGAAGAGAATGTAACTATATATCTATCCCAACCGCTTTGAATACACAGATACAAAATGGACATTCATCAGTATACGGTTTTTTTGTTTAGTTCCGTTATTTGAATATTATAGGTGTGTAAACTCAGCAAAATATTCTAAAAGAGCCCAGTAGTCCATAATAGTATTGGGTCTTCCACTTGACTGCCAATGTCAGAAATTTTTTTTTTTTTTAAATTTTATTTATTTATTTATGTGTGTGTGTGTGTGTGTGTGTGGCCAGCTCAGCCCACCAGGGGGCAGGGCTGGCTGGCATGTGGTGCTGGGGGATTGAACTGCAGTCCCTGTGCTTTGCTAAGTTTGCTCCAAGTAGGTGCTCTAGACCACTGAGCCATCTCACCAGCCCCAATGTCAGAAATTTTTGATCTGAATCCCCCACAGCTCAACATAACAGCATAGCTTTACTTCTTAATTTCGTTTTTATACTTTTCTGCTGGATGGTTAAGACCAAGGTAAAGCAGGCCCTATGCAACAAGAGTTGTAGCTTTGTAGAGATTCTTTATGACATATATTAATCCTTTGCCATCTATAAGAGGTGTGTGTGTGTGTGTGTGTGCGCGCACGCATGATAGTTCTGCCGAGTTTCTTTCATCTTCTACTGCCAAAGAACTTTAAACCATTTTGGTTGCTGGATGAGACCCAGGGCCTCTCTGTGCCAAACACACACTCTGTCACTTCACTACTACCTCCTATACTTTTTTCATGTAAGGAAACTTGCCAGTACCTTTATGGCCTTGGGGTTCTATCAGGGTTAGTTTTGGCTAGTTTTGTACTAGAGAAATGCCAAGCGTCATGTGCCTTTGCCGTGAGAACCCTGTGCAGGCGCTGGCGCCTGGGAGCAGCGTGAGGCACGCATACATGCACCCCGCACCCCGTGGGCCGTGAGGGAAAGGGGTGGACATGTGACCATTTGCGCTCTAACACTTCCTGCGTTTCCTGGGTTGCCCTGGGCCGCGCTCCCTCAGTGACAGCTTAACAGCCTGCAGAGCCACCTCATCCCATAGTATGTTTCCTTTCTTCCTTTTTGCCCAGACTATGCAATTTCCAAACCAGACCTCATGTCCCAGATGGAGCGCGGAGAGAGGCCAGCCATGCAGGAGCAGGAGGACTCTGAGGAGGGCGAGACCCCCAGCGACCCCAGTGCTGGTGAGTGTGAGCAGGTGGCCCCAGGCCCTGCGCCCAAACCTTTGCACACTTAGGAGGGTCATGGGCCAGGGTGGACCTAAGGGGCACAGTGGCTGGTGATGCATAAAGGAGGCCTGCACAGGGCCCCGTGGTCACTTTTGATCCATGTTATTGGTAAATGGGATATCATGAGGTTCGTTGTCTCAGGGATATTTTGAGATAATCCAGAATCACCACTTGGCCTGGCACAGGACTTGCATGATGCCTGGCCCGTGGCGGGCAGCTGTGGTCATGCCTGGGTGCCACCCCTTCACTGCAGCTGCACGCGTTCCCCACTGGAGTTTCCAGGGTCCAGTTAGATTTTGGAAGCTCTGCTCTGGAATTGCACTTGTGCCACCAGCCTCAAAGGTCTTCAGGAGAAACACATCCTTATCCTAGATGGGCTCACTTGGTGAGGGGAGCAGCCTGACATCACTGAAGGTCATGTCTGTCACAAAAGGCAGCTAGAGACTTAATTTGGGGCTAGCATCCAGGACTTTTTAGGATCTAAGGTCATGGGTTAGGGAATCTGCAGCAGGGTTTGACACTGCTGCAGGAGTGCCAAGTAAGGTCACCCTGTGCACTGAGAGGGAAGGACCAGCCACTGTAGACCTGCTGTCCCACCTGTAGGGATCCCCTAGAAGTTAAACACACAGGAGGGGCTGACCCTGCATTCATTCTGGCAGACAAAATAGGTAGGTTTCCAAGCAGAGGAGGATGAGGGGCTGGAGCCACAGTGTGGTCTTTGGCAGGGTGATCTTTTGGTTGTCTGTGCCTTAAAGGTTTCAGTGGCCACATCTGAAAAAGAGGTAGAGTGGGAAGAGGTGAGAGAAGAAGCAGGGTAAAAGAGGCAGAAAGAAGGAAGAACTAGACACAAGATGAAAATTCAGGAAAGGTGACTCATGTTGAAAACCCTGAAACACAGCCGACGTCCCTGCTGGTTTGGAGGCCCAGGTGCGACTCAGCATATCTTAGGAAGCTTGGAAGCCAGGCATGGTGGCCCATTTCTATGATCTTAGTACTCCAGGAGGCTGAGGCAGGAGAATCAAAAATTTGAGACCAGCCTGAACACCTTAGGGACTCAGTGAGACCCCATGTCAATTTAAAAAGGGCTGGAGATACAGCCCAGCCTGAAACCCCTGGCTTTGGTCATCAGTACCCACCGCACAAAACCCAGAGTGTTTGGTGAGGAAGCCCAGTCTCCCCTGTCCCTGTTTCACATCTCATCGAAGATGGGCCTGCCATGGAATGAGGTCAGAATCAAAAAGTGAACAACCCCAGCCCACTGCCCCAGGCAGACTTTGTTCCGCACCGCATGGCCACAGCCTGGGCTGCCACTGGGAGGTGGAAGCCTTACAGAAGTGTCCTTGTGTAGCTGGCCTGTGCCACTTTCCTAGGAGCCGGGTACACGGGCACTGGCCCTGCGCATAGCGGGCATTGACGCACACACACACCTCAGCCAGAGCTCTGTGCTCTCTGGGTGTGAAACTGCTCGGGTGGCAGTCTCTGGCTCTCTCCTCCTGCGTCTTCTAGCTTGTCAGGAGGGCAGCAAGGCCAGGCTGGGTAAGACCCAGAGCTGGGACACCAAGGGGAAAAGTCCAGAAAACAGCTGTCGGGGGTCCGTAAGAGATGCCAAGTGTTTGAACTGAGTGTATAAGTAAATGCACTCCACACGGGTGCATCCCTCCAGGCAGAAGAGACCCAAGGAGGATTCAGACATGAGCTCCGCTCTCAATACTCAGCACAGGGTGCTGGCCTCCAGGTCCACAGGTGGTCAGGGAGGCCCCGAGGTAGTGCCCACCTCTGCCCAGCTCAGTGGTGCCAACGGCAAGCCAGAGGGTGCTGTACACAGACCCGCCTTCAGCAGTCCAGCCGACGTTGTCACAGTCTGCTTAGGAAACCACTTGATGCTTCCAGACTCAACATTATTTAAAAATATTTACAATGCTCATGCACTTGACCTAGTCACTTCCTTTGAGAGAGTCTGTGGCATGGAAGAGAAGCCAGAGGGCTGGCTGAGACACCTGGCGCCTCCAGGGCTGGACGTGGGCTCCGTGGCAGCACACTGGCCTCGTGTGTGAGGGGCTGGGTCCATCCCCAGGAGTGCAGAAGCAAACAGGAAACTTCGTGTACAGTAGGCCACCTGCAGCACCTGGTACTGCATTGAAGAGGGTTGGTACCGTTACGTTTCACTTAGTTTTGAGCTCATCAGGTGGTATTTGAGCCAAGCAGTACTGTTTATGAGACCTGTGCCTCAGACCTCCACCACAACAGAGCAGACATACCCTTGAAAAGCATCCAGGGCTACTAGACGTAAGGCACGGGGGACCCCGCTGTGCCTGCGAGATGGGGAAGACCTCTGGATGTGAGATTCTCAGTGGAAACGCAATGAAAAGTAGTGTCTTGCTCCAAGGAGAACTAATAATAGGGAGGCAAGAGGGGAAACCAGAAGACTGTGGGCACCTGTTTGTTTTCTGGGTGAGGGACCTTGGCATGGCCTGGTGCTGGCAGGGGCTCTGCAGTGTCCAGGAAGAATCTAGAGATTGGTGGGTGTGGCCAGGAGGGAGAGGGAGGTGCCAGTTGACCCTGGGCCCTGAAGTAACAGGAGATGGTAAGCCTGGAGCTCAGATTTGGAGAGGCAATGAGAATTCGGCTTTGGAAACATTTGGCTTGAGATCCCTGTAAACACCAAGAAGCCTATTGAAAAAGCCAAGCTCAAAAGCAGGTCTAAAGCTGGACATGGTGCCTTAGGCCTGTAACCCTAGCTCTCTGAGGGGCTAGGCAAGAGGCTCACAAGTTCAAATCCAAATAGGGTGGGGGGGGGCTGGAGAGATGGCTCAGTGGTCTAAAAGCACCTACTTGAATCAAGCTTGGCGAAGCACAGGGACCACGGTTCGATCCCCAGCACCACATGCCAGCCAGCCCCGCCCCCTGGTGGGCTGAGCTGGCCACACACACACA